TTTGAGACAGAGTCTCACTAAGTTGTTGAGTCTGGCCTTGAACTTGTGATTCTCCTGCCTCAGCCTCTGGATTCACTGGGATTACAGGTGAGCACCACTGTGCCCAGCTTATACCATGCTTTAGTGAGTAACAGGTCAAGGGTCCAGGAGTTTGTCTTCTGTCTTTTTATGGTGACCCCAACAGTTTCATTTTCTTATTTAGTTTATTCTTGGAGTCCTGCTAGTGAAGGCACCCTCATTTTCACGGGGCAGCTTGTTTTGGGGGTTGGTAAGATTGTTTGGGAGAGGGAGCCAGGAGGGAAGAACACATACCCTCTTTGTAGTGGGTAACAGCCTCAGGGGGCCACCACCCTCTGTCTTCACGGTGGTCCCTCGCTGTCCCATACTCTTCCCAGGGTCTGGTGACCACTATTTTCTGCTTCTTTGCAATCATCTTTAGCTTCCACATGTGAGAACACGTAGGGTTTGTCTTTCTGGGCCTGACTAGACTTCATCTAATCATTCTGATACTGGAAACTTGGTCCTTGTCCCTGATGCCAATCCAATAAGGAGGACAAGGTTTTGAGAAAAAGAAAAAAAATATTTTATTGCTTTGCTAGCAAAGGAGACAGAGGGGACTTCTATCCCAGAGGCTATGATTCTGTCAGGGGGAACAGTAGGCTTTTAAAGAGGTGATTCAAAGGCTCAACTTCAGCTCTGCAGTGTGGGACTGGAGATTCATTTGTATTCTCATGAGACAGCCTTGCTTCTACAGGTGCAGACTCCCAAGTCTGGACTCTTTCATTTTTGAGGTCTGTGAGTTCAAGGACAGATAACTTGGCCTAGGATGGGAAGAAGGCCAGTCTTGCTTCCCTTGTGATTAGGAAGTGGAAGAAGAGAAGAGGAAGGGGGGACAAAAAAGTCAGTTTTAAAATAAGCCATAGTGAGTCATACATGGTGGCACATGCCTGAAAACCCAGCCACTTGGGAGGCTGAGGCAGGAGGATTGCAAGTCCAAAGCCAGCCTCAACAACTTAGCAAGGCCCTAAGCAACTCAGCAAGACCCTGTCTCAAAATAAAACTTAAAAAAGGGCTGGAGATGTGGCTCAGTGGTTAATGCCCCTGGGTTCAATCCCTGGCACCAAAGGTAAATAAATAAGTAAGTAAAATAAGCCACAGTGGCAGAGCATTAAGGGTTATGTTCAAAGCACGAAGTTAACCCCTGTTAAAATTCTATCATTTAAAAAATTTCCTGCTTTCTCTATTTTTCATTTCCAGGAACTTCTTTAAAATTCCTCTGAGAAGTGCACCCTGTTATTTCATGCTTGTCATATATCATGTAGGAGAAGGAAGTTGCCAAAAATCTTTTGCTTTGACTCACCCTTCCAAAGAAAAAAGCTTAGAAGTTATTAAGAGATGTCAATTTAAAATGGCTCAAATTTTCATAGCTCAACTGGTTAAGAGCCAATTGTCATCACAGACTTAATTTCTGGAATGTAACAGTTACTCCCACAGGGAGCAGAGCAGTGGGGAATCTGGAATTTGGTTGTCTTTTAGGACTCTTGTATGAACAGGTCTTTCTAGAACAGATGTATAGTAACAGGGCTCTCTCTTTTTTTTAATATTTCTTTTTTAGTTATAGGTGTTTATTTTATTTTTTTGAGGTGCTGAGGATCAGACCCAGGACCTCACACATGATAGGTGAGCGCTCTACCTCTGAGCCACAACCCCAGCCCAACAGGGCTCTCTTTTTTATCAATAATCTTCCACATTGCCACACTGATCAGGAAAACAGGATTGATTCTCCTTTGAAGTTCCTGTTTTGATCCTTATTTTATCTGAGTTTAAACAGCCTTCTTTTTTTTTTGGTACTGGGAATTGAACCCAGGGGGCACTTAACCACTGAGCCACACCCCCAGCCCTTTTTTGAATTTTATTTAGAGACAGGGTCTCGCTGAGTTGCTTAGTGCATTGCTAAGTTACTGAGGCTGGCTTTGAACTCAAGATCCTCCCGCCTCAGCCCCCCAAGCCACTAGCATTACAGGTATGAGCCACTGTGCCTGGCTCTCATTCTTTTTCTTTCCTTCCTTCCTTCCTTCCTTCCTTCCTTCCTTCCTTCCTTTCTTTCTTTCTTTCTTTCTTTCTTTCTTTTTTTTTCTGGTGTTGGAAATTGATCTCAAGGCCTCCTGTATGCTGGATAAGTGCTCTACCACTGAGCTACCCTTGCCCTGTCTACCCCCAGCCATTAAACTCATTTTGGGGATGCAGAATAACAAATATTTCTGTTTCTGTGGCTTCAGAGGAGAAAGGACAGTTCATTTTCCTCTTTATGAGGCTAGTTTTTGAAGGAGTTATTAACAAGAAATATTTTCATTCCTAGAGCCAGGAATTGGCCTTGCATCTGTTTGCACTATAAGAAAGAGCAGGCCTGCTAAAGTTCTCTCTGATATGAGGATGCTAACACATAATAAATGGGGTGGGGAGGGAAGAATAGAAGTTCACTGAATTAGACAAAGGGGGATGAAGGGAAGGAAGGAGGATGGGAATGGGAAAGACAGTGGAATGAATGGGACAGAACCTTCCTTTGTGCATATGAATATGCCACCAGTGTAACTTCACATCATGGACAACCACAAAAAGGGGAAGTTATTCTTCAAGTATGTAAGATATCTCAAAATACATTCTACTGTGGCTGGGATTGTGGCTCAGTGGTTGAGCACTTGCCTAGCATGGGTGAGGCCCTGGGTTTGATCCTTAGCACCACATAAAAGTAAATAAAATAAAGGTCCATTGACAACTAAAAAAATAATTAAAAAAATACATTCTACTGTCATGTATAATTAAAAAGTACAAATAAAAAGAAAGAAAGAAAGAAAGAAAGAAAAGAGCAGAACTGAAGAGGTCAAAGTTTAGAACCAGGGCTGGGATTGTGGCTCAGTGAGAGAGCACTGGGTTAGCATGTGCAAGGCCCTGGGTTTGGTCCTCAGCACCAAAATAAAGATAAATAAATAAAATAAAGATATTGTGTCCAGCTCAAAAATAAATATAAAAAAAGTTTAGAACCAGATAAAAGGCCACATTATTTAATAATTTCATTATTTAACCAAAATGGAATTGGGAGCACTTGACATTTTTCTGCAATATTGTAGTTTAGGGCCAGAAACACCTCCCTTGGTCGGGGTATGGTGGAGCCTGCGTATAGTCCCAGAGCTTGGGAGGCTGAGGTAGAGAACCACTTGAGCCCAAGAATTCAAGGCCAGCCTGGAGATGGTAATCCCCAAGGCAGAACAAAAAGTCTTCCTAGAAAATGGAGTTCCTGTTTCTTATTCTCTTCCTGTGTGTGGGTGATTTGGGTGGAAAAAAGGGAAAGAAACTGCCCTCTTGAGAAGGCAAACTTTGGCCTTCTAAATTGTGCTGTGCTCCTTCCTATCGTGGGACATTTGCATATGTACTTCCTCCACTAAAATATATATACCACCCTTCTGGGTAAACATTTTCACGCTTACAGTTTCAATTCAAGCATCACACACTCCAAAAGCCTCAATGAGCCCCCAGAGTAACTCCCTGTTACACACTTGCACATAGTGAGCATACTGCGTAAAATGATCAAATCTCGCTCTCTCTCTCTCTCTCTCTCTCTCTCTCTCTCTCTCTCTGGTACTCAAAATTGAACCCAGCTACATCCCAGCCCTTTTACTTTTTGAGACAGGGTCCCGCCAAATTGCTGAGTCTGGCCTTGAACTCATGATCCTCCTGCCTCAGCCTCCCAAATTGCTGGGATTACAAGCATGTGCCACCATGCCTGGCTCCATGGCTTCTCTTCTTAATATCTCTTCCCCAGTCAGCCTAAGTCCCATGAAGGCCAGGCATGTCTCTTTTTCATTTGTCTCTACAGAGCCTGGCATTTGTTGAGTAGTTAACTGGGAGATTCTGGAATGTGGGGTCTCACCTTGCTTCTGTAGCCACACTTTCCTCCAGGTCCATGAGCATGACCCCTTCCTCTCAGGTAGAGAGACATTCTCTGGGAAGTTCAGAGCCTGAGTACCTGGCTGGTCTCTGTCACAGTCCCTTCCCAGGCTGCAGGACAAACTAGTGTCCAAATAACACTCAGACAATAGCTGTGACTCTCTCTTAAGCTTCAGTTTTCCTAGCTGCAAAGAAAAGAGATTGAAGTTGAAGGTCAGAAGTCCTCTTCCTCTGTTTCTTAGGATTTCCTGGTCCCTATCTCAAGGCCCATAGCAGCATGCCTGCTCTGATGTCATCTGTCCTCACCATCCCTAGCCTGGACACGACACAAACTTGAGTCTTCCTGTATCTGGGGCTGGTGAGAAGGCCTGGGACCCTGGGGAGTGGGGAGGGAAACCTGGCTGGCTCTAAGCTTGTAACACCGTGAGATGCAAGTTTTCTCCTTTCCATTTTACAGACAGGAAAGCTGCCACCTGGAGAGGAAGATGTGTGCCTGAAACTCTCCGCCAGGAAAAGAATGAGAACCAGTGAGAACCCCCTCCCCCACCCCCCACCCCGCCCCGAAGCTCAGTGCAGAAAGATGCTGTGGGCAAGTTCCCTTTCTCAGACCTCTGAGCTCCACAGAAACTCCTCACTCTGTCTCCTCGGGGCTTCTACTTCCCCTAGGGGTTTCTGACTTTCCTTGAAACTTAGTGTGGCACTATCTCCTCCAGCACTCCTGAGTCCCTGGGTACAGGGCTGAGACCCCATGGATGGCACAGATGAAGGGCCACAGCTCTGAACTTAAGCTGTTCTTTCTAGCTGGGAGGGAGGGTGGTGTTAGCTGCCCACTGGTGGGGAGGGATCCAGGGATCTGCCGGGGAGGAAGGAGAGGTCTCCTCTCAGGCATGCCCCTATTTCTGGCCCATCTATTTAGGGTCTGCATGAGGTTGCCAGGAAACAGAGTGGGTGAGAATTACTCAAGCAGCCCTTCCTTCTGCAGCCTGGGGACCAGTGAAGACTGCCCAGAGGAAGTGCTGGGTGACTGAGGGTGACTGAGGGTGAGTGGAAGACAAGGGGCAGAGAAACGGAGGAGAGCACATTGCAGAACTGAAAGAAATTGAGTGGGAGGCAGGGAGGGACTGGTCATGTGGGGGTCAGGAATGAGTTTGGCCTTTGTCCCAGAAATTTTGGAGAGTGATGTGAGGTGAATTGCATTTTACCAAGATTCTGGTCTAGGTGTAGAAGAGTCTGGTTTGGCAGGCAGGGAGAGGGAGACGGGGTGGGGCCCAGCCTGTGGCAGATGGGAGAGGCTTGCAGGAGGTGGAGCTGAGGGTGAGGGACGAAGCCCACAGTGTCTGGGTGAAGGTGCTCACCCCTGTTACCTGGGCAAGGCTGCTTTCAGCTCTGGTCAGGGTCTGAGGGGTGGAGGTAGCTGGGGGTCATCATGACAAGCCTGTAGTGCTTGCCCTGCAGTCCCGCTGTAAGCATGCAAGGATGACCGTGGTTTGGATATTCTCTAGTGACCACCCACAATGGCCCCAGTCCTGTGCTTTCTCAGAATAAAAGGGGTGAGGAGGTTTGAGTCCCTAGGCCAGGTTGCTGTCGCCACCTACAGGTAGTTCTGATTCTAGAGTACTGCTGCTGCCTTCTGTGCTGGGGCCTCTGTCTCTTTCTTTTGTTTTCTAATTTATTTGTTTTTGTAGCACTGGGGGATTGAACCCAGGGCTCTCTACCACTGAGCTACATCCTTAGCCCTGTTTATTTATTTATATGTGGTGCTGAGGATTGAATCCATTGCCTCACACTGCTAGGCAAACGCAATCCATTGCCTCACACCTGCTAGGCAAACGCTCCACCACTGAGCCACAACCTAACCCTTTTTGTTCCAGACTGACCTGGAACTTGTGATCCTCCTGCCTCAGCCTTCCCAGTTGCCGGTTATAGGTGTGCTGCACCCATGCCAGGCATCTTTGTCTTTCATTATGGTCGGAATATTGGCAAGTCTTAATGCTGCTGTGAATGGCCTGGAGGAGTAGTCATGGACGGTGTTGTGGGTGAGGGAGGACAGGCTGCACAGAGTCACAGTAGTGAGAGGGGGAGGCCAAGGCAGCCAACCTGGGATGTTCTCTTCTAATGGCCACCTTTGGCATCTCACTTGCACTTCCTGTTGGGAACCTTTCCCCAGGCAGTGAGAGCAAGTGTCTATGAAGAAGAGCTCCCTAGCCCTAGCCTGGCCTGGAGGTTTAGAGACTTAATACTTCAAGCCCCATTTACCACAAAAGGACCAGAGATGGCAGTAAAAGGGATAGGAAACTGGACTGGGGATATGGCTCAGTTAGTAGAGTGCTTGCCTTGCATGCACAAGGCCCTGGGTTCAATCCCCAGCAACACAAAAAAAGAAGGAGTAGGAAACTGAGTAAGAGAAAAGTCAGAAAGAGACCTAAATCCAGAGCACTCTCGGACTCCAGAATAGACAGGGCAATAGCCCTGTCAGGAGCTGCCCTGTGCTATTCACAGTCCAACATATTAGGGCCAGGCACCAACTCCTGCTTTATCCAATGCCTGCAGTATGACCTTGATCTAGATGCTCTGAGCCTCAAGTTCTCCATCTGTAAAATGAGGATACTACCCCCCCCACTCAGTGCAGGCAGACAACACAAAATGCCTGGCACAGTGACCAACAATAAGTCACAATAAGTCAGATTAGTTCCCGTCCCTGTTTGCCCAACTCCTGCCCTGCTGCCCTAGAGGTCCTAGCTGGTTTCCATAGTGGTTCCAAGAGTGGGTGCAGGTCCCCGCCTGCTGGTGGACTCTGGAACTGCACCTCTGAGCCCAGGGGAATGCCTGACTCCAACCACCTCCAGGGAAAAGGCAATGATTTTATTCCCTAGCAAAAAGAGAACTCTGGAGGTATTCAAGGGACTTTCCATCATCCCATCACATGCCATCACAACCCATTCTGCCCCATCTTTACTTCTTTAATTGCCCCTGTTTGGAGTGGCCTCCCCTCCATTACTTGGAGACATGGCCCTTTTTGAAGATACCCATAATGCTGTTAGCCACAATCAGAATTAATGGAAACATGCAACACTTGGACTTGTTTGTAGATTTGCTAAAGTGAACATAGAGAGGAGAGAAAGAGAGAGAACTAGAACACCTTCCTGAGTGTTCTAGAGGCCAGGCATGGGTATTTTCTAGTATCTGAACCGAACCACTTACCATCCTTGCCTAAAATACCTGAAATTTCCCCAAGGAAATCTCCTCCCAACTCTGGGTGAGGAAGGTGGATTAGGAAATGTGTTTTTTTCTAAAACAGCTATACAAGCATTTTTTTTTTCCCCATGATTTTCTGTTTTGTAGTACTGGTGAATGAACTTAGGGCCTCCAACTTTCTAGGCAAACACTCTACCACTGAACTATATCCCCAGATCCCCAGTCCTTGAATTTTTTAAATAAAGGAAAAAATGCTTCCTGGTACTTTCAAATTCCCAGAGGGCTTACAGGGTACTCTCCTCTGAAATGCTGCATCCCCATGCCATGTCCTCCTTCCATGCTTCACAGTGGTCCCTCCACCTGGGACTCTGGTCCACACTCCTCGGCTGCCAAGTTCCTACTTGTTCTTCCATGCTCATCTCAGTGTCATCTCCCTGGATGCCTCCCTGACTCCCCAGGTCTTGGTCAGGGGCTTGCTGTTCTCACTCTCACCTTATCTATTCCTTCATTAGAGCTCTCAGCTGTCTAGACAGCACCATAGGTGGGGCTCTTTCTTTCTGGAACATGGGCTTATTGTGGGCAGGGGTATTACACCTGCATATGCCCAGCTCAGACATTCATCCTTGGCAGTTGAATGCAGTGAGTCCACACTAGCAAGGTTTGCTCACCACCAAAATGAGGAATCTGGACAGATCTCCTGAGTTACTTTTGACCCTGGAATCCCAACTTGCATATAAGCAAGCAGACTTCAAACAGCCAATCCTGAGCACAGACCCCAGGCACTGACAGGTCTGTTTAGTAGGTATTCTGAAACCAAAATGCATGGCATAGTTCCTCTTACCAAGGATATATTGTAAATCCTTTAATTTCAGGAATTATTCAGTTTGGACATTTTTAACTTCAAAACAAATACCCAGGAGAGAAAATCTAGCTACAGCCATGCATAACAGAGTGCTAACCACAAGCCACATAAACCTAAGGTGCTGGATTCAGAAACTTCACTCCAGATGTCAGGTGCGGTGGCACACGTCTGTAATCCCAGCAGCTCAGGAGGCTGAGACAGGAGGATCATGAGTTCAAAGCCAGCCTCAGCAAAAGTGAGGTAATAAGCAACTCAGTGAGACCCTGTCTCTAAATAAAATACAAAATACGGCTGGGGATATGGCTTTGTAGTTGAGTGCCCCTGAGCTCAATCCCTGGTATGTTCACCCACACAAAAAAAAAAAAAAAAAAAAAAAAAATCACTCTAAACTTTTTATTATAGTGGGCATATAGGCAAATGATTTTGTCTCTGATCCACAATTTTCTTATCTGTAAAATGGGCATAAAGACACCTTTTAGGGCCACAAGAATTAAATGACATATTCTAAATGGTTAGGTGGTAGGTACGTGCTCAGAGTGAAAGTTCATTACCACTAGCCTTTGCTATTATGAGGAAGATATTAGTCTCATAAGATGACTTTCTAGGTACCAGGGATTGAACCCAGCTATGCTTAACCGTAGCCACATCCCCAGCCCATTTTTAAATTTTGACACAGGGTTTTGCTAAATTGCAGAGGCTGACTTTGAACTTATGATCCTCCTATCTCAGTCTCCTGGGCTGCTGGGATTAGTCATATGCCCCTGAGTCTGGCAAGGACTCTTCATTAGAACCTGTGGAGTCAACTTTTTGAAAATCTGATTGCAGGGCTGGGGTGTGGCTCAAGCGGTAGCGCGCTCGCCTGGCATGCATGCGGCCCGGGTTCGATCCTCAGCACCACATACAAACAAAGATGCTGTGTCCGCTGATAATGAAAAATAAATATTTAAAAAAATTCTCTTTAAAAAAAAAAAAAGGAGTTTGAAAGTGCTCCCTTCTCTTCAATTAAAAAAAAAAAGAAAGAAAATCTGATTGCATGGATCTGTTTTCTAGAAGGCTGCTCCTGCTGTGAGTCCACAACTCCTAGGATTTGTAACCTAATTGGCATCTCCATCATAGTCAGGTGTGAAAATGCATCTCACTACACGTGCCTACTATGAGATTCCAGTGTGCAGGAAACATCCATTCCATCCAAACTCCTGCTGAAATCCCTTCTAAATCACACAACTTTAGTTTCTTTTGGTTCCTTCAAAACAAATACCCAGGAGAGAAAAGAAGCTGGGTATTTTTGTTTTGAAGGAACAGCCACGGAGCTGCAGCACAAATGCAGAGAGTGGGTGACTAGGTTTAAATCATGCCCATCCCAGGACAAACGCCAATATAAGATTCCTTGTTCAGTTCCCCAATAAAGAGCAACAGTCAC